GTAATTTCTCCTTTTTTATTTGTTTTAAAACATCTAAAATATAATTTTAATTTTTCAGTTTCTGGAAATGGAATTTGAATATTTGTAAAATTCATTTTTTGACATATTTTAATATTTTGTGCTATTTCTATGATTTTAAAAAATTGTTTAAATTCTTTACATGTTATTTTATTGTCATTGTCTGAATCTATTATCAATAATACATTTTCTTCAAATTGTTTAAATTCTTTTTCTTCTTTTTCATAATGAACTCCTTTTAATGCTTCTTCAAGTGTTATTAATTCATCTTTATCTTTATCTATTTCTTTAAAAACATTTGTTGGACTTATCATCTTCTTTTTGTTTCTTTTTAAAGTTCTTTTCAATTTTTTTACTTCAGAAGATATTTTATAAATAGAATATAATATTTTTGTTATTCCTCAAAGATGAATAAAAAGAAGAACTTAAATATTATTAACATATGTCATTTGAATGTTTGTATTAAAGAATCAAATACATTAAATACTTATTAGTTATAGATTTAGATCATCCAGCTGATGTTATTTTACACTCATGGGGAAAAAATATAATTGAAGCATTTGAAAATGCAGCTGCAGGTATGTTTAATTTTATGAGTGATTTAACAAGGGTTGAAGAAAAAGAAATTAAAACAATTAGTATAGACGCAACAAGTTATGAAGAAGCATTAGTTAAATTTCTAGATTCATGGTTATGTGTTTTTTCATCTGACTTATTTATTGGGAAGTCATTTAAATGTGAGGTGTTTGATGATAACGATGAAGAACATATTCATATTGAATGCAAAGGGTTTGTTGTTATGTTAAGAAAAATTGTATTTTATAACACTAATCAATATAGAATTGGAGAATATTTTATTATTGGAAAACATCAACAAGGAACAGAAATTAAAGCTATTACATGGCACAACCTAGAGATATATGATGATGAAAAAGACCAAACACATATACACATATTGCTTGATATCTAATTGAATTATTTTAAGGAAGAAGAACTTTAAATAACTAAAAAAAGGAAAAAGTAAAAATATTAAAAAAAAAAAGAAAAAAACTAAAAAAGAAAGTATGTCAATTTCACCTGTAGATTTAACTACTTTTAATATTCCAGATATTAATATTGTTCAACGTTTACAAGATGCAACATGTGGAGATACATATGAAGGGAATTATGTTTTTGGAAGTAATAAAAGACCAGGATTAACATTTATTAATACTAAAGTTGAACCACCAACACAATTTTATTTTGAATTAAAACTTCATGGAACAGTGGAACAAGTATATTTTATTGAACAATTAAATATATTAATTACATTACAAAAAAATAAAATAGAAGTATATACAATTGGACAACCAATTACATCAATAGCATCAACAGAATCAATAAATCGAGTAAATCAAGAAAAAAGGTTTCATGATTTAAATTTTGATTTAATATGTCCATTAGTGTATAAAGATTCAGTATTAATTGCGTGTTATGAAGATAAAAAAAGAGCAGTTAGTATTGGACTTATAAATTCACAAGGAAATATAAAAGCAATAACAAGAGTTCATACATCAGATTCAAAAGTACAAGGAATGATATTTTTAGGGAAAGATTTATTAATGTCATGTGAAGAAAAAATAGTTGTTGCACGATTTTTTGAAAATGCAGTTTTTCTTCAAGAACAAAAATTACCAAAAAAATGTATTAAAAACAAGGTAATGAAAATTGATTTAGTACAATGTTTAGTTATTTGTGATGGAGACGCTTATTATTGTTCATCATCTAAAATATGTAAATTAAAAATAAGTAATGTTATATTTGCCGCATTTGTATCACCAATTTTATATTTAATTAATACAACAGACTCTATTTCTTATTATGTTATTCCACTTGATAACTCTATTTCAATGGTCCCTGAAATAGTTAAACAAGTTACATTAGAAGGATATACAAATTCACATCAATTTGCACCAATTTTTATTAATCCACAAAAACAACAAGGATTATTTTTTAAACCAAAAGAAGATTGGTTCTTTTATGCATTTTCTAAATTTTATTTTGAAGCAGCACTTAAATTTAGTGATAAATTTCCAACATTAATAAATAAAGATAAAGAAGGATTAATTAAAATAACAAGGTTTTGTTATTCATGTATTAGAATTGGTAATTTTTATACAAATCCTGAATGTAGAAATATTGATTTTCTTTCAGAAACTTTTTATCAATTACAACAATCAAATATTCCAGTTAAAATTATTCTTGGTGTTTTAGTTTATACTATTATTAAAGATTTCTTTTCTGAATTCTTTAAACACTTTGAAAAATGGTTTTCTGAATCAGAATGGGTTAATGATTTATCAGAACTTCCTAAAGAATCTGCAACTAAATTAGCAAGAATTAGAATGTTTAATTCTATTAAAGAAGCAACAGAAAATGGTAAAAAGAAAATGAACGTTTCACAAGAAGTAGAAAAAGAATTTTTAACAGATTTATCATCATTATTATATCAAAATAATAAAACATTTTTTGATTTAGATACAAATGAAGAAGATATTGATTTTAGTACAAAGATACCAAAAAATAAAGAAGATTATATGATTTTTTTAACTTCATTTCTTCTTATTCTTCATAGAGTTAATCCAACTCATGAATATATTAAAGAAATTGTTAAACAAACTGATTATTTAATTTCTGATGTTGTTATTAATGGAATAAGTGGAATGATGTTAATAGAATATTATATTAACATGAATTATCTTGATGGTATTTTTAATATTCCAAATATTAGTACAGAATTAAAACTTAAAGCCCTTTCTGCAGTTGCTATTGATTTATCTTTAACTGATTCTGCTGATTCAAATGTTATAAATTTTGATAGAAAAGTTGAATTATATTTAAAAGAAATTCTTGAAAAAAATAAAAGTAAAACATATGATGAAATTAATAATATTTTAGGTAAAGATGTTTTTCAAATTTTTGGTGGTAGAAAAATGAAATCAACAGTTGCTATTTGTATTAAACATATTAAAACTTGGGTTCTTCATGATGTATTTGAATATAAAAATGAATTAAGATTAAGGTTATGTGTTTTATTCTTAAGAACTTTATATGAAGAATTATTAAAACATAAATCTTCTGATTTAAATTTAGATTGGTTAACTGAAAGAATTATTCTTTCTTATTTAGAATATTTCGAATTTGTTGCTTCTGAACCTACTTTACCTCAAGTTCCTGATCAATTTGTTTCTTATTGTAGTAGATTAATTTTTACTACTCAAACTTCTGCAAAAAAATGTTTTGCTGATAAAAAAGATCAATTACAACAAGTTTATTATAAAATTAGATGTTCATTAACATTTCTTGATAATGATGAAGAAACTCATGATGAATTAATGTATTTAATATTAAATGCTGAATATCCTTCAAAAAAATTAGTTCGAGAAGGTGAACAACAGGACCAAAAATATGTTACTCTAGTTAATACAATAATTACAAAAACAAAAAGAGAGTTAATTGCTTTTTTAAAAAATTCTTTAAAAGATCAAATTATTGATGAAAAAAATTATAAATTTAAATTAGTAGAAAATTTAGATATTTTAAGAAAGAAATATAAAGATTGTAAAACTTGTCCTGATTGTTTGCAACTTGGTATTCCTTGTGAAAAACATAATGACTCTTATTTCCCATTTGTTGATAAAAATTTGACATCACTTTATAGTGAAACTATTATCTTTTCATTACTTGCTTTTGAAAATGAAAAATATAATGAAGTTTGTCAAACACTCTCTAAAAATTGTGGAAGAGTTGTTCCTGATGTTATAGTTTCATTTTTCTTATCTCTTTGTCATCACCAACTTCTTAAAATTGGAACTGATTTAGAACAAGGTGTTAAAAATATTGTTTCATTTGTTGAAGAAGCTTATAAAGATGAACCTGATGGTATTGAATATTCAAGGTCATGTTTAAAAACGGTATATGTTCCTTTAATTAAATATTTAAAAGCTTATTATGATCAAAATACAAGTTCTGATTATATGTTTCTTATTGAATGTTATTTAGAATATTCTAAACTTCCGGGAGAAGATGAATTAAATGCAACTGAAGAATTAATTTCAGCTATGTCTATTAATACTTATGCAGAACGTATTACTAAAACACATGGTTTATCTTGGAGATTACAATGTAGAGTAAAACATCATATTAGTTTGATTGATGGTCTTGAAGAATATTTTGGAGCTTTTGTAAATCAATTATTAACAGTTGATGAAAAGAAATACATAACTGCTTTTATTGATGATTTGTATGAATTTTTAAATGCAATTAATCCAAAAATTGCAAATTCATTCCAAAATAATACTAATCAAGAAAAATATATTACTCTTATTAGACAACATCATCGGCCTTTCTTATCTGGTAGAAAAAATATTTTATCAGAAATTGTACTTCACTGTGTTTGTCTTGAAGATGCTAATGGAAAATCTCCTCTTCTTAATGTGTTTATTGCAAAATTATTTACTCAAAAAGCATATGCTCCTGCAATTGCATTAGAAGTATTTATTAGATTTTTCCCAATTATTCCTTTAAAAAATACTAAGACACAAAGAGATTGGATTAATAATAATAATAATGCACAAGCACAAACTGGAGATAATCTGAATATTTTCAGTCTTATTTTTGATTCTCTTCAAAGTTCTGAATCTCTTATATTATTATTACCTTCTATTAGATATTATTCACAATTATTTTCTCATTTAAGTGTTGTTGACTCAGCTCAAAGGGCATTATTTAATAATTTAAATAAAAGAGGATTTACTATTACTTATACTAATAAATGTAAGGCTTGTCAAACTAAAATTACTTCAAGAGAAACTTCAATTGTTAAAAATGGTGAATTCTATCATGAACGTTGTCTTCATCCTTAATTCTTCATTAATTAATTTTTCTCATTAAAATTAATATTTTTTTTGGTTTATTAAATAAAATAAAAATTAAAAAAAAAATAATTTCAATTACAACAAATTGTTCATTGTTTTTCATCGTCATCATCTTCTCCAAGTAATTGTTTTAAATATCTTCTTTCTTCATATAAGTCTTTTATTCTCATTTTCATTTGTGACATTTTTTGAAGATACATTTGATTTTCATTAAAAGTAGTTACTCTTAAATTATTTAATTCTCTAATAATTAGTAGTGCTTTTAATTTTAATTCTGTTTGTTCTTTCATGTGAATTTCAATTAAATGAAATCCCTCAGGACTAATGTAATCTTTTAATTCCTTCCAATCTTTATTTAATGACTCAACTAATAAAGAACCATTTGGTATTACATTTAAATCAAAATTTCTTTTTTGAACAGTAATTCCTTTTTTACTTCTCATAAATTTAGTCATTTTTTCTAGTAAGTCTTTACAATTATCTTTCATCCAATTTTTCCAATATGACTGTGTTGGTATAGGTGATAATAGTGATTGTAATAATTTAGATAATAAAATAACTGCATCAACTGTTTCAACTTGTGATTTCCAACATGAAACAAATGAATTAAAAGGAGATAAAAAAACAATACGTGTCGTTGAAAAAT